TTTGTCTATCACCTAAAATTTTACCACACCGAACCTTGGCCTTAGTGATATTGGCCTTACTGGTTTTTCTTTGTCATTTGCTTGGTATATGTGAAATTTGTTTTGTGAAAAATATCAACAGCTAAAAACACAGATGGAAATCAATAAAGATCTTTTTAGTGCATACATTGGCAGAATTACCCAGGAATGCAATATACCGTGTATGATAAGAACATACTGTTGTCCTTGCTCTCATCCAGAAGATGTCATCTATGTAGACTCAGATGAAGATATGTCCGACGATGTTCAGGAGGTCTGTGAAGAGTACTACAATCGAGGTATTTCCTTAGTGTTGGTTTTAAGATATCAGAGAACCTAAAACAGTAAAAATTCTATAGCTAAGGAACTTTGTTAGGATCTAGCAGAAGCAATACCCATGACAGGTATAAAATGAGTCATACCATGCTGTAGATGATGTGAGAATGTGAGGGAGGGGTGAGGAGAGATACCATAATTCCATTTCATTCCTAGCAATCCCATTAACGTTGGGTATAAACTGAATGGGTTGTTTACCTGGCCTGTCCCAGTGCACCATTGTTGGTAAATGTAAGGAAGATTGCACACTCTGATAGTAATATATGTTTCACCACATTGTGTTTTCTTCCCAAAGATCAGTCATTGTGTAGTAATCTGTATTATTGTTATGTCCCTGCTCAATGTGCACCCTGCTGTCCTTCTATGTATAATGGAGTACCTTTAAAAGTGAGTACAAAGGCAGTCATGTTACCATCCAAGCTTCTTTTTCTTTCCAAAGTTGTAAGGTGGATGGAATGATAGGTAGTCAGCATGCCTCCCACTTGGTCTCATGACTACATCCTGCAACCTCCCACTTCGGTGACAAAATCCTGCAACTCCCACAACTGGCCACTTGCACTAATGACCAAATTCTGCAATAACCCCCCCCTCCCCCACTTGGACCAATAACCATATTCTGCAATATGCACTTGGAATGACCACCATACCTACCCACTTTGACTGATGACCAGGGGCGGACTGACAACTCATGGGGCCTACGGGCAGTAGAGGATCATTTGGCCCCTGTGTCCTTACCCAAACTCAGGTACCAGGGGCATCTCATGGGGCCTGCTACTGACCCTGGGCCCTCGGGCAGTGCCCAAGTTTCCAAATGGTCAGTCCGCCCCTGCTGATGACCACATTCCACCACCACTTGGATAGCAAAACCCCCTTAGGAGTCGCTGAGTTTTTTGGGTCCCCCTATAGTTCTGCACAGCCAGGCAACACACGTTTTCTTTCACACTTGCACACTGGAGACCGTAAACAGTCCTTGAGCTTCTTTTTGTAGTTTTATTAAGGTGTATTGCACTTAGGTGTGGTTGAGGAGTATGCGGAATGCCCAAGGAACGGTAGAAACTTGAGGACAAACTCCTTAGCAACCAAGTACAGATGTGGATAAAGAGGATGAAAGTATTCTTTGAAGAGCTCTCCAACCCTTCTGGTGTACTTCCTCAGACCCCAGATGAATCCTCCCCTTCACCCAGCTGCTCAAGGGAATCCCTGAACAAGGGGACCCAGAAACTGCCACTTCAGTAATGCAGCCCCAGATGAGGAACTAGTTGGGTTTGCCACCTGACTGCCCTCTCCCCTTATCAGGTCCAGGGGGTGTAGGTTTACTCACTCAGTCCTCTCCTGTAAGCACTGTGGGTTGGGGGCTGGTCTTACACTGGGCTGGCTCCTTTCCTGCCTCCCAGGCTGTCCTCTCTCCTTCCTAGCTCCTGCCTGCAGGTAGGTCCCTCCCTGGGCCACCTTCCCGGCTCCACACTCCAGCCTTTTCACACCATCTTCCACCTGACACTGACCAAATCCTGATCAGGTTCTCCAATAAATAGGACCTGCTCTAACCCCATGCCTCATGCTTAGGGATTGGTCAGAGTCCCCTGATTATGCAGATCCATCCCTCCTCATCCTCACCCACTGCCTTCTAGAAACTTCTCAAGCTTCTAGAGCAGGGGGAGGTATCAGGTAACTGACCTGCGGAGCCCTCAGCCCTGACCTAAATATATCTTGCTGACTCATACCAGGCTGCTATTCAGCCTCTAACTTAAAAAACTAGCTAGCTCCCCCTGGCTAACTAGAGGGGTGCTACAATCATATCCTGCAAATCTCTTATTTGTACTAAAGACACTACCTCCTTACACTAATGCCTTGCACTAATAGCAACACCCTGCAAAGTCCCCTCATGGACCTACATCCTAAAGTGACTCCACTTGGATTGATGACCATATGTCAAAGCCTCCCATTTCCTATTGACTGATGACCACTCCTGCAACCATACAACTTTCTGCTGACTGACTGCCCTATAGAAATCACACAACTTTCACTGTTATACATTTTAGTTTGAATAGTTTTTTGCACCGCATGGACCTGGCTTTTCAAGATTGACCTAAAGCTTGCATTTATTTATAACAGAGAATCTCTTCAATGAAGTGAGACAGGGCATCAGAGATATAGAAGGTAAGTCAGAGATGTAGAAGGAGTATTAATTACTATGAGACACTTATAGTAGCAATACATATTTTGATTGCTTGTCTGTTTTTTTTTTCTTTAGTCCTCATGCACACAGGATGTTTTTGCAGCGGCTCTTTTTGGCTTTTGTGTTTTTTTTCTACAGTAGCCAGTAAACCCCCCCAGCTTGTTAGCCTATGTGTTCACACACACACGTAGACTGTAATCAACATTTTTTTGGCTGGAAAAAAGCCCAGGACTAGTGGGTTTCTAGAGGTGTTTTTTAGCTGTCAAAATGCTCTAACGTGGTAAATCGTGGCAAACTGGAGTTTTGGACTTTTTTTACCAAAAAAATTTTTTTTTTTAAGAAAAAAATGCTAAAAAACGCAAACACGAAAAAATTTGAAAAAACCGCTGCTAAACACTAATGCAAAAATGCTAAAAAATGCTGAAAAACTCAAAACTTTAACGTGACTTTACACAGCTAACGTTATCAGCGTTATTAAAACGCTCCGTGTGCATGGAGACTTATTCGCAATTCAATTGAACAGAAATGAATATGATTATATCTGCAACTCATGATACATTGGTGTGATGGTCAGTGGGAAGAATGCTCCTTACACTCGTGGTTATCAGGAAAAATGACCCCCTTATAGATAGCTAAAAAGATCAATAGAGTTAGTTGGAACTTATCTAAGAGGCAGAAATTGATCAAGGAACCCTTAGCAACCACTGGAGGAATCCTGGTTGAGAAACCCTGGTTTACAGCAACCTTTCTGAACCTTTGCAACATGGAGGAACCCTTGAAATATCTTTCCATTCCTAGGGAACCCCTGCTAAATATGAATATATCTGCAATTCATGATACATTGGTGTGATGGTCAGTGGGAAGAATGCTCCTTACACTCGTGGTCATCAGGAAAAATTACCCCCTTATAGATAGCTAAAACGATCAATGGAGTTAGTTGGAACTTATCTAAGAGGCAGAAATTGCTCATGGCTCAAGGAACCCTTAGCAACCTCTGGAGGAATCCTGGATGAGAAACCCTGGTTTAGAGCAACCTTTCTGAACCTTTGCAACATGGAGGAACCCTTGAAATAACTTTCCATTCTCAGGGAACCCCTGCTAAATGTGAATATATCTGCAACTCATGATACATTGTATGATGGTCAGTGGGATGAATGCTCCTCATACTCGTGGTCATCAGGAAAAATTACCCCCTTATAGATAGCTAAAACGATCAATGGTGTCAGTGGGAACTTATCTAAGAGGCAGAAATTGCTCATTGCTCAAGGAACCCTTAGCAACCTCTGGAGGAACCCTGGTTAAGAAACCCTGGTCTACAGCAACCTTTCTGAACCTTTGCAACACAGAGGAACCCTTCGAAATAACTTTCCGGTCTCAGGGAACCCCTACTAAATATGATTGAAGAATGTTCCTTACACTTGTGGTCATCAGGAAGAATGACCCCTGCTAAATATGAATGAAGAATACTCCTTACACTTGTGGTCACCGGACATCGACAGGAAGTCACGAAGCGACCATCTTGGAAGAGGTTTTGTCCATAGGAAATTGCGAATACTTCGAATGCTGGTTTTTTTACTCTGTTCATGTGAGCATATTTTAAAGTATATAGAAAGGATAGAAAGGATTTATAGAAAGGATATTTCAGCGTTGAGGGCATTTCACAATATTATTTTTGGGATAGCACCAATTTATTTATTAAATTCAGGGGAAGCAGACTGACAATCAGCCCGAGGTTACCCTTTGTATTCCTCATGGTGCTTCTAGTGGTTCATATATCCCTAGTTGTAAACCGCTGATGTAATGGTAAAATGGATTTTGACATGACAAATCAGTGCATTTTAGTATTGAATGCAATCCACCATATCAGTCCATGGATTTGATTAACCACTTCCAGTCCGGACACTTTCACCGCCTTCCTGTCCAGGCCAATTTTCAGCTTTCAGCACTATCGCACTTTGACAATTGTGTGGTCATGCAACACTGTACCCATATACATTTTTTAGGATTTTATGAAAACGGATAAAACTTTATTTTGGTGGTATTTATTCACCACTGGGATTTTTATTTGTTTTTGCTATATATATATGAAAAAGTCCAAAAATTTTGAAAAAAAGTGTTTTTCTTATACAGTTTTGCAAATAAATAATCATTCTTCATAAATTTTGGCCAAAATGTATTCAGCTATCTTTTTAGTAAGAAAAAATAACTCAAATTAGTTTATAACCAAAAATTATAATCTTTCAAAAAATGTTTTTACAGTTTTATTTTAATTTTATATATTAATATTTATGTTTTTTTTTTACATACTGTCACCCTAGCAGTACAGTGTCACCATAGTGACACTGTACTGCTTGTGGGGGGTGATGAAGATTTTTTTTTTACACTGATTGCTTTTACACCCATAAAGGCTGTAAAAGTAATAATTTCTCCCTTCTCTGGCTGCATTCTTGCAGCCATTGAGAAATACTGTGAGAGCTGTGCTTGGTCACAGCTTGTCACATGGTACAAGGCTGTTGTGAATAGCCTTGTACCATGTGACCTCGGTGATCATTCACAGATATCACACGTAGTAAGCAATGATGTCAGAAGTGACATCTTGCTTACTACTGTTCTTGTGATCACTGATTGGCTAATCAGTGATATGTGATCGGGACCTCACACAGAGGTCCCGTACAGTGATTGGTGTTTCACTGTGTCCTCCGGACACAGCGGGCATTGGATTGCAGTGCCGCGCGCTCCGAGGGAGCTCGCACAGCCAGAAAAGCGGGCACCATTTATGAATGGCAACCCGCTCCTGCACTGCTCCCATCCAGCCGTTTATGTACATGGGCTGGATGGGAAGTGGTTAAGCTCTGTACCTTTTTATACCCATTTTGGATCAGAGCAATTTTTACATTTCCACTATTGGCCTCTGTTTATTCAGTTGTAAGTTTGTCATTACTTAAAGGCTAAGTTCACTTTTTAGGGAAATATATATATATATATATTATAAAAAAAAATATATATAAAAAAAATTAAAATGTACAAATGTAAATTCACATTGAAATGGTCCCAATTTGTACTCTGGGGCCTCTTTAATGTGAATTTATTTTCACGTCACTTCTTTGGTCTATATATTTTTTTGTTCCGAGGACACCACCCTTCACAAAACGGGTGAGTCGGCAGTAAGTATTACTAGCATTTAGCCTGCAGTGGTTCCTGTTATGTTTTAACCCTTACAGTAAAAAATATATTTTATTTGCTGTGTAATCCATAGAGAAAAACATGTAACAATAATGTGTTAATTTTGTTAAAGATAATTTTACTGTAAATAAAAAAAAAAATACATTGATTTCAATCATTTGTTCTGCTTAAAATGGCACTCAAAATAATATTTCTGGTACAGTGCATGGCAAAATTAATTGCAAATGAAAACAAATCAATTTTTTAAAAATTTGTAAATTACTTGAGACACAAACACATTAGAAAACAAAATGAAGGAAAGATCATTTTAAAAAAATGAAGGTTAAAAGTATTAGAAAACAATTTCAGAAAAAAAGGGGAGGCAAGAAGAGAGTTTATTAGGTAATAAGGGTTAACTAAGGTTGAAAAGGATACATTTATTTATTTTTTTACTTGTAGGGTTTCTTGAACTGATGAATGCTGCTTGAGGTGATTGTAGCCATATTAGTGCACTTGCGACAGGAACAATTGAGTACTGTCTGTGATACTTTTTTTATTTGCACTAACATACATTTTTGAGGACAAGCTTTCGGGGAATGTCATCTTCTTCAGGTCTAAGCAGTACTGACAATTGTTCCTTGAACTGATGAATGAAATAGTAACTTCAGTGCAACAATACATTGTTACATTGTATTACTCAACGACAGTTGCAGAATTAAAGCCTAGTACATACGATCAGGAAATCATACAAAAAATACCACTTTCAAAGCGATCATACGATGATCTGATCATTAGTACACAGCTTTCGTCCGAAATTATTTCAAGGGACAAGCACTGCAATTTTTCTCATACAATATCAGATCGTATGATTTTTGTTTAATCAGTATAGTTTTTGTCTGAAAATACAATGTAATACATTATATCACAATTTTTTATTCTGTCATACGAGAATTTTCGTAACTTTAGTAACCTCTTCACTTTCGATATCAGATTAGCATGCAAAAAAAAAGGACGACCATTTGTCCGATATTGTCATCGTGTGTATGAGGCTTTACTCTAGTAAATTAAGGTGCAGTAATCATGTATGAACTGGCAATAATAACTCCATGAAACAATTTACGCTTTTAGTCCTGGAGGTGGAGGCCAGTTGGAAGTAGTCCATAGTTTGACTAGGTCCATGTTCAAACCTTGATCCGTGCAATTTATCCAAGGAAAGAAACCCAAGTCTGATGACAGAGGCACTTCTCCAACTGTACAGGCAGTTGTCTTGAAGCTGCTGTAAAACCATTCTTACATGATGGCGATGTGTGTGCTCAAGTCAAGGGATAAGAATGTCATAGAGCTATACAATGACTCAAGTATACAAAAGGTCACAGAAGATTTTCTTGTCAAAATTCTAGAAGATGTTCAGGGGGTTGCACAAGTCACAGGGCAGCAAGACATACTCATAATTTTCATCCCCATTGTTGAAGGCCATCTTCCCCTCATCACCTTCCCAGATCCCAATCAGTTTGTAGGATCCTCTGAGGTTCAATCTGTCAAACAGTTCAGAAATCAGAAGTAGAAGATTCCTAGTGAATCTGGTGGCATTGAAACCCCCAAGACAACATTTGACCTGAGTTACAATCCAGGTGAATGGGGTGAATGTCTTTGCGGCTAAGGGATGCTGAGAATGATGGGACTGGTGGACTTCACCATGATGTAGAACTCCAATGTGCGTAGTTTCAGAGGATGTTTGGAACCTGATAGGGTATACAGCCAAGGTAGAGCCTTCATCTGGTCAAGTGAAGTTCCTGACCATCCTAGAATGCGCATTTACAAAGTTCAGTACCCAGCAGATGCAAACAGGCAAGATGAAGCGATGAAAAGTAACAGAATTTGGAGTCAGGTCTAGATCTCTTTCCTGTGAGTAAACTAGAAGTTTTCTGCTCGATGAAGTTTCAGGCCACCCCATAGTCCACATATGCAGAGTTCAGTGCCCCCTGGATGCAAAATGGCAAGATGAAGTGAGGGAAAGTAATAGAAATCAGAATAAGGTCTAGATCTCCTCCCTCTGGGTGAACTAGATGCAGGGGTTTTCTGGGTGACAGGTCTTCAATAAGTGACCATAAGTGACTCCTATAGTGTGAGGCAGGCTCTCCCTAGTTGCATGGATTCTTCTGATGCTTGAGTGAATGACAAAGAAGGATGATCAAGAGCCATCTGGAAAATGGGAGGGGGGGTGTCAGGGCGGGGCTGTGGAACGGACAGGTAGGCCTAGTGGCAGGGTAACACACTGGCTGACGACAACCACCACAAACAGACCGAAGTTCCTGAGGGCGCGGAGTCTAAGTCCCAGGCTGCCCTTCACCAGGGCCCCTGATGGTGGGGATGGACTTGATGCAGCCAGGAACCAGGTCGCTGCCCCCGATACACCCCGGCTGCGGTAATGGCCGCCGCCAATGGCGTGTAGCTGGTGAGAATGACAATAGCGTAGTCAGGCAAGCTGGGTCGACAACAACGGGACTAAACGGTACAGAACAGTAGACAGAGAATCACAGGTCACGGGCCGGGTTCAGCAACGGAAGGTCAGATCAAAGGAAAACACAGAGAATGGTCTTAATCACAAGCCGAGTCAGATACCAGAAGAGTCACGAGCGTATACACAGAGCTGTAGGAAGACAAAGACACAAACACAAGTGCAAAGAGCATGTGCGGACCACAGGCCTATATGTCATCAGCCACACCCCTCTGGGGGATGAACCTCAGAGACCTGAAGGCATAAAAGGATTCCCACCATGCACAGCAGAATCCAAGATGGACGCCAGCACATGGAGTAACAACACCTCAGGGAAAAGGTAGGACCTTGACAGGGGGGGGGGGGCAATGTGACACAGATCTTTGTGGAACTCACTTCTGGAAGCAGATGCCAGTTTGGATACAGTGCACAAGTATTTCAAGTAAGTCAAGGCAGCAGGAATAAACTCCCTGTGTTTTTCATCCTTTATGTGCTCAGATAAGCTTTGTCAAAAGGTGGCTGTAAGGGCTTCAATGATCCCAGCAAGTTCCAAGGCGAGAGTGTGAAACCTGACTGCGTATTGGCCTACAGTCATGCCTTCCTGCTGAAGTTAGAGGAGTGCCCTAGTGGCAGACAAGGCCCTGCTCAGCTTGTCAAAAGTTTTCCAGAACATGCATAAGAAAGTAAAGTAGCTATGTTGGGTGTCATTGGGTATTGCTTTCCAACAGCTTGGTGGCCCAGGCTAAGGTGTCCCCTGAGAGAAGTTAATCATATACGCACTCTTGGTGTGGTTTGAGAAAAGGTAGGCTGAATGTTCAAAATGAATAGAACATTGATGAAGCCACAACATGCCTTTTGATCACCACAAAAGTGAGGTAGGGGAGGAATATGTAGACTGGAGGTGCTGGCCTTCATGGGTGGTTTAGCTAGATATGGGGCTGCAGCTGAGGCAGTAGAAGTCAAAGTAAAAGCCCATTCCAAGCCAGTCCAAGCAAACTGTAATGAATCCTCAGGGGTGCAGAGTTTAAGCGCCAGCCTAAGCACCAGTGCAGAAGGGAGGTTGAAGACAAACCGTACGTTGCTCAGGCTCCAGGCACAGGAATTACCCTACATTAAATATGCCCTTTTATGAGTCAAACACCACTGACGTCATCAGCCATATTGTGGGCTAGGAACCTTGAACTGCCACAGACCATGATGCAGAAATGAGAAAGGTAAGTGACAAAATCATTTACCTTTAGGAGCTCTTTACCATCTCCTGCTATGAAAGTACTATGCTTGGTGTGGAATATGTGATATGTGCTCCAATATTCAGTGTTCCTTCTTCTTATCTTGTTCTGTCTGTCTTCCTCCTCCAGAGTTCTGCATCGCCTGTGGTAATGAACATATCACTGGGGGACACCCCATCTTTATTGGAGGCTTCTGCCATAGATGTACGGTGAGTAGCAATGCAGGGTAAATGTCTGTTTCCAAGTCATAGAGTACAGGACACAGGTTGTTTAATTATTACAACTGAGTTATTTGCAGATACCTTCAGTTGACTGAACACTGATAAAAAACAGAAGCTGCAGGGACATCCCTCTATATAATGCCTCCCTCTGCCAATTAGCCTCAGTTTTTGGTGAGTGTCCTTAGTTCTTGGACCTCATCTCTCTATTGAGAGAAGTTTTCTTTATTATTATATTTTCTTCCTATCTCTCTTTGGATCCCTGAATGATGATATTCCAAGATGATTCTTCTATCAATAGGCTGCATCATAGGTACTGTGTATTTTCATGCAACTTCTGGATCAGTGGACTCCTTGTCAGAGCCTTGGGAGACTGTCCTGGACCCCGCCAGGTGAAAGTTGCGGAGTTGGCTTGTAATGCTGTTCTTGGCTGTGTGTACTCTCCACACAGGGCAGGGCACTTACAGGTCCAGGGTCGTGGTCTGCCCAGGTGTAGAGCCCTGTCCACGAAGACTCCTGTGGCCTACAAAAACTGGGCACTGGGGTTTCCACTCTCCTTTCTGTTGCTA